CTGCTGGTTCTGTTTTGCACAGATCAGATTCCAGAAACTGGACGCTCCAGACTCTGGATGTTGAACTGAGGCCCAGAACCAAAACCAAACTCAGACTGCAAATATCTGCCAGTGCAGTAGAAACACACACCACACCACACAGTCCTGGTCCTGGTTTAGTCCTGGTGTAGTCCTGGTGTAGTCCTGGTCTAGTCCTGGTGTAGTCCTGGTTAGTCCAGTCCTGGTTAGTCCTGGTTTAGTCCTGGTTTAGTAGTCCTGGTGTAGTCCTGGTGTAGTCCTGGTCTTAGTCCTGGTTTAGTCCTGGTCCTGGTCAGTCCTGGTTTAGTCCTGGTTTAGTAGTCCTGGTGTCCTGGTTTAGTCCTGGTGTAGTCCTGGTGTAGTCCTGGTGTAGGTCCTGGTGTAGTCCTGGTCTAGTCCTGGTCCTGGTTTAGTCCTGGTTAGTCCTGGTCTAGTCTGGTTTAGTCCTGGTGTCCTGTTAGTCCTGGTCTAGTCCTGGTTTAGTCCTGGTTTAGTCCTGGTGTAGTCCTGGTCTAGTCCTGGTTTAGTCCTGGTGACTCAGTTTAAATCCAGACTCAGAACATTTCTGCAGACGACTCAAAACGTTTCATTCTGCTCTTCTCTCTCATTTCATGTCTCTCTCTCTTTCATTTTCGGATGATTATTTATGTTCTGATTTGTTTGTGTTGTGATTTTAAAGTATTTCTTATTCTGTAAAACACTTTGTGTGTGAATTGTGTTGTACAAATAAACTTTTCTTCTCATCTGACACACAGGGACATCAGGCCCCTCCCTCTGCTGCAACAAGGACATTTCTGAAAAGGGCTGAAAAGACACCAGCTGATGGAGCCTGTGGAAAACCTGGAAGACAGGATGTGTCCCACACACCAACAACCCCTGATGCTCTTCTGTTCCACTGATGAGAAGATCGTGTGCATGATGTGCTCCGTTCTAGATCACAAGAACCATGAGTTGTTGTCTCTGGAGGAGGCGTGTGAGCGCAGGAGGTCCTCTCTGCTGCAGACTCAGGCTCAGAGCCAGCACATGGTGGAGCAGAGGAGGCAGAAGATCCAGGAGATCCAGAGCCTCCTGGAGCTGAGTGAGACAGAGGTCCTCAGAGAGAGGGCTGCGGGGCTGCAGGTCTTCACTGCTCTCATGCAGTCTGTTCAGAGGAGTATGGACCTCTTCTTAGAGGAGCTCCAGGAGAAGCAGAGCCGGAGCCACAGACGAGCCCAGGATCTGCTGCAGCGGCTGGAGCAGGAGATCTGTGATCTGGAGCAGAGCAGCGCTGAGGCCCAACGTCTCTCACGCTCTCATGACCCCCTCCACTTTCTACAGCGCTGCCCTGCACTCACGCCCCCTGCTGGGCTTAAGGAGTGGAGCAGCGTGAACTTTGAGCTGGAGACATGTGAGGGCAGTGTGTCCCGGGCTCTGTCTGAGCTGGAGAACAGTCTCCCTCAGGAGTTTAACAAACACTTTAAAGAACTGCCTTCAAGATTAGAACTATTGAGAGTGAAGCAGAGTGCGGTGGAGGTGACTCTGGACCCAGACACGGCTCATCCTGAGCTCATTCTGTCTGAAGATCTCAAACAGGTTCATCACACTGATGTGAGGAAGAATCTCCCAGATTCTCCTCTGAGGTTTGATAAATGTCTTTATGTTTTAGGAAAACAGAGTTTCTCTTCAGGCAGGTTTTACTTTGAGGTTCAGATCAAACGTAAAACAAACTGGGATGTAGGAGTGGCCCAAGAGTCCATCAACAGGAAGGGAATAATCAATTTAGGTCCCAAAGATGGAGTGTGGAGCATCCAGTTAAGACACAAACATGAGTACATCGCTCGTAATGACCCTGATGTCCGTCTGTCTCCTCAGAGAGCTCCTCAGAAGGTCGGGGTGTTTGTGGACTATGGAAAGGGTCTGGTCTCCTTTTATGATGCAGATTCTGCAGATCTCCTCTACTCCTTCACTGACTGCTGCTTCAGGGAGAAGCTGCTTCCATATTTCAGTCCCTGTAACCGTAAAGGAGGATCAAACTCTGCTCCTCTGCTCCTCACTGCAGTGGAGACTTTGAGCGGTGACAAAGTACAAAAGTAAAAGTACTGCACTTAATATCTCGATATTTCAAATATATGAAGATATTTTTTAAACTCGATATGGATTCTGACATATCGTATGTATCGAAATAATGTTTATATTCAATTCTGATTTCGCTGCTTCGCTCTTTTTCCTTCTCCCTGATTTTGCTGCTTGTGTCTCTTTGTCGTCGTGAATGTAGAAAGTTGGTGCCAGTGAAAAACTTGTAGCACCACAAACCTTTTCCACCATTTACAGACAAATAGGGCTGAGTGTCATTAAGACGATGCCAATGCGATACGTATCTCGATACATAGGCCACGATACGATACATATCTCAATACGGTGATCTTATGATTTGATACGATATATTTCAAATCGATTCAATATAGTTCAATAAAGAATAATGTGTAAATCACAGCTGCGACATTAGAAGTCTTTGTTAACCCACAGAGTTCATATGAAATAAACATTTTACTCCACAAAACAGTGAAAATGTGAAATGTGCTGCATACACAAGTTTCCTTCCACTAAACAAACGACAAAACTGTGGCGCTGTAACAAAATAAATTAACAAAATATACCAAAAAATACTCTTAGCGATATATCGATACAGCAGCCCACAATATCAATACTGTATCATCACGTTAAATGATACGATATATCGATATTTTAATATTTTTGCACACCTCTACAGACAAAACCATCAGCAGCACATCCCCTGTCACAGAGAGAACACTCATATTCACCTGAGTCGGTAACACTTTATAATAACTACACCTTACTTAGCCTTAATAAAGCATGAACAAAGACTTAATTAATAATGAACAAAGATTTAATTAATAATGATTCACGCTTAGTAAATGCTTGATAAAGGATAATTTGTCTTCACTTTAGAAAAACTCTCAAAAAGACTGAACTAACAGATGACAGCTGCCTGAATGATCATTGCATTACATTATTAGTAAATCATTCACTCATAGTTTACTAATGATTAATAAATGATTAATAAATGCTCAAATGGTTAGTTCATGAGTAATTAAGTATGAAATAATAATGAGTAACTATTTACAGCACAGGCAAATTTAAGTCCAAGTGCGAATTAAGGTAGTAATTAAGTAGTTACTAAGCGTGAATCATTATTAAGTCTTTGTTCATTATTAATTAAAGGTTGTATAGAGATTTCCAAGGAACAAGAAATCCAGCGACTGTTTGTCCTTTTTCAAATGTGCGCATGTGTAAACCACCTCCCCCCCCACAGCTCCTACGTAGAAACACCTCCTCCCTCCTTTTACGCCAGAAACAGGTTTGTTTACAGCCGCTGCACATGACTTGTAACAACTAACTACAGTGTTGGTTTAGACAAGAACGGAGAAGTGAGAGCAGGGGGAAGAGTGGATCGGGCAGGGGGACAGGAAGGAAAGGGGCAGAGAAGGTTGCGCGGAGATTCAGTGCGAATGAACTAACTACAACACGCAGCAGCAAGCGGACTCTTTTTTGCCTTGAAAATGACGTTTTCAGACATAGGATATCGCTTTCGTGTCCTGAAAAACGTTTGTGTCGCTCTTGGAAATAAAGTACGTTTCATAATAAGCAGAAGTTTCCTGTCCAGGAGTAATTTGTGGACCAGTGTTCAGTCTTTAGACCCTTCGTCTGCTTCAGTCGCGCCATCGCTGGAATGAATCTTCAAGAATCACCTTAGTTTGGCTTCGCTGCTTTTCCCCTTGTCTTCTTCTTTCACCTCAAAAACGGACTTTCTTTTGCGGCGAACTGCTCCTGGATTCTTGTCGCCATCGCAACAAACTTTGTGTGAACTGCGAGGAAGATATAGGTCAAAAAAAGCCGCTAAGAACTGTTGCGTTGGTGGAGTAAACAGCGTCTGTGTGTCTTGCGTCTGTGGACTGTGTGACAGTCGTACATAAACCACGTACCGGCGGCGCAGGCAAGTCAGTTACACTAGAAACGTAGGGAGTTTGATTGACAGCCTGTCAGCTCACAGATAACGAGGCAGTGTCGTTATCTATTGGCAAATGTTTAGCCCCACCACGTCCAGAGTTGATGAATTTTTATTCTCTTTTTTTTGGTCATCATAATTACAAGGCTCCTGCATCTATAATCTATCACTGACTAACTTGAAAACAAAAAAAAAATCCTCCATACAACCTTTAAGTCTTTGTTCATGCTTTATTAAGGCTAAATAAGTTGTAGTTATTATAAAGTGTTACCCCTGAGTCCTTGAGTCCAACAGAAGCTGAACCACATCAGCGACACAAGGAAAAACAGTTTATGCAAATGAGTCATGTGGTTTTAAGTTCAGTTTCTGTAAAACGTAAACACGTGTGCACAAAACTGAATTAAACACACGATAATGTCAAACAGACTGATGTGGATCCAGAGTCGTTATGTTTATCTGTTGTAAAGTTTATTTATGCAGAAGATTTGAATAATAATCTGCTGCAGTGTGACTTGTACAATAGTGTTTGAATGGTTTGATCTGCAGTGGATTGTGGGATTAAACCTCAGACTCTTCACTCTGGTGAGGAACATGGATCTGTTCAAATAATGAACCTCCTGAACTTCTGACGCTGAAGGAGCTCGTGGTTCTCGTACGGTTACAGAGTTAATGCAAAGATGAGCTTGAGTTGAATTGATTTATTTATGAATGAAAAGAAGGAAATGTGTTTTATTTCTTTTATTTTACACTTAAATTATTATTTATGTAATTAAGGATTTTTTTTTATAATCTTAAATGTGGCAGCAGCTCTTTGTTCCTACATGAACTGTCCACCTCCTGCACTTTAATAAAAAAACACATTGTGGAATTTGGTATATTTGTTTTTGCAGTAGTTTTTGGGGGGTTATTTTTCCTCTACACGTATCAAGATATATTTTTTGCTCCTTATCGCCCAGTCCTGATTTTGAAGTATCTGTATTGTAGTGTGAAAAGTCCCAAGTTGGTCTCTTATAGTTTGGAACCTGTTATTGTAAAGAAAATCAGAATTGACAGTGAACTGGTGATGGGCGTCTGAATCTCTACATTGATGTAAAGCAGAGCCAAGTGTCTTGCTCACAGGTCCTGGGAGGGCATCTGGGACAAATACACAGGCTGAAACGTTTTCGGATGATAGGACAAGTGTTTTCCCAATCCCAAAAGAGATTCTGCTGCAACTGTCCCGATTTGAATTAATTTGATTTGATAACAGCGTAATCTGATAACAGCGTAATCTGATAACATGTAATCTGATAATTAATCTGATAATGTGATAACAGTGTAATCTGATAATGGTGTGATCCAATAATAGCGTGATCTGATAACAGCGTAATCTGATAACAGCGTTTTCTGATAACAGTGACTGATAACAGTTGATCTGATAACTGTAATCTGATAATAGTGTAAAACATTTTTGTAGTTCTGATATTCACTTGGGCGGCCATGTTTGTAGTTTTTTGGCTCATTTTAAAACATGTGAGTTTGGGTTTAGTGAAACACTGACAGCGGTTGTTTTCGTTGGACCAAATCTTACACAATATTTATTTATTTATTTGTTTATTCAAAACTTAAACGATGATAATTTAACATAATTACATTTTGATGATATAGATACAGAAATAAATAAATAAAAATAATAAAAACAGAAACAGTCCTGAACATGAGCTGAAAATGAAAATCACGTGTTTCTTCATGAAACTTAAAGGGCCCAGTTTACAGTTTTCTGATTTCTGCTGTGACGGAGTTTCCTCTTCACAAACACCTGCATTTCTGCTTTATTTCAAACACTCTGGTCCACCCTGTGATGTCATGAGGTGATACAGGAAGTGCTCCACTGTGTTTTTAAACTAATGCTGCAAAACAGGACGAAACCAGAACTAAACCAGGACTAAAACTTGAACCAAACCAGAACTAAATCAGAACTAAACCAGGACTAAAACTTGAACCAAACCAGAACTAAAACTTAAATTAAACCAGGACTAAAACTAAAACTTGAACTAAACCAGAACTAAACCAGGACTAAAACTTGAACCAAACCAGAACTAAATCAGAACTAAACCAGGACTAAAACTTAAATTAAACCAGAACTAAACCAGGACTAAAACTTGAACCAAACCAGAACTAATTCAGAACTAAACCAGGACTAAAACTTAAATTAAACCAGAACTAAACCAGGACTAAAACTTGAACTAAACCAGGACTAAAACTAAAACTTGAACTAAACCAGGACTAAAACTAAACCAGGACTAAAACTAAACCAGGACTAAAACTAAAACTTGAACTAAACCAAAACTAAAACTTAAATTAAACCAGGACTAAAACTTGAACTAAACCAGGACTAAAACTAAAACTTGGATTAAACCAGGACTAAACCAGGACTAGAACTAAACCAGGACTAGAACTAAACCAGGACTAAACTAAATCAGGACTAAACCAGGACTAAAAATTGGACTAAATCAGAACCAAACCAGGACTAAAACTTTAACCAGAACTAAACCA